AAGGCTATAGGTAGGCCTAAGTAAAATGTTTTTAATTGTATACCAGTTTAACGTAGAATATTATTTATGATTTTAACTTTTATTTCTTTTATCTCAAATTTAGCATAACATCAAACCTAATAATGCAGTAATTGCTTTTCAACAAATATCTCCTACTTCAACTCTTACAATCACTAAATAACAATAAATCTAAAATACCATATCCATCACCAACAGTTGACTGAATATTTGGCAGAGAAAACCTTTCTGAATCATTTCAGGAAATCTCTCTTCGTCCATACATTTAAATTCATACATTCCCAATTAATGAGTCTAAAATTAAAGTCTCCTATAATCTGAAACAATCTTGATCATATTATACAAATTCTCATGTCTTATCATATGGCCTATAACAATTCTCAATTATAAAATTTCTATTCTTGATTGTAACCCATATAGATGCAACCTCTGACTACTATTTTTTTGTCTTTAATTTCAACAGGTGGTTACAGTTCATCCCTTATATAAAGAGCCATTATATCCTCTCCTTTAAAAAGTCTATCAGTATTAAATAACCTGTAACCTGAAACTAAAAAAATAATTCCTCTTATCAGTATTCTCCATTCTACCAAAGTTTCAGTAATCCCAGTTATATCATAGTCTTTCATTTCAACTAATGCTTCCATGTTAGAATATTAGTAACTATTATTTACTTGAATTCACTATATGTTTATACTACTTTAACTCTGATAGACTTTTGTTGCTTGCAACAATAATTTCATTAATATATTTAATGAGACAGTCCCCACTATGTAAACCTCTTGATCATCTCTTTCCTCCCTACAAATAGCCAAAGGTTCAATCTATTAGACACTGGTATCAGAGTACCAAATGAACCTTTCTCTTTAGCCTTTAATGTTTTTACTACTGTTACCATAAAATTGAAGGTGAAATGATGCTGAACTTGTAGGGTGTGGCATATGCTGATACTGGGTCATTTCCAAAAAGAATAGTTAAATGCAATTTTGATGAAATTCAGAAGAACAGTCATTTCTAACTGTACAATATACTTGCTAAATAAAAGGTTAGTCTACTTTGACTAATTTTACTGAAATTAAATGAATCAGTTGGGCATGTAGACTAGAGAACTGAAAGAAAATATAAAATTTAAAGTCAAAAATGTACTTACACAGAAAAAAGGAGTGAATTTAAGAGGTGCATGGTTAAATACTTATAGACTGGAAAGTTGGATACATCCTTCAGGTGCTTACCAATTAAATTTATATACTATAAAGTTTAATCCTTCCTAATGGATAAGATATACAATTTCATAGCTGTATGAAAGATGCCAAAGATTTATAGAGAAGAAATGGAAGAGAAGATATTTCATAACAGAAATAGGTAGCTCTATCAAGTTTTTCCTTGAGTCTAAGGTGAGTACAAACTCTTTGGCAGATTATAAATGACATGTATGGTATGTGCCAAAGACAAGATAGGTTAATTAAAATTGTGGTATAGGTTTAAAACAAGTAAAACCTGCAAATCATGCATGGACTATGCTTAAACATAGTAGGAAGCACAGTTTCTTTTTAAATTTTAAATGTTTCCAGTAAGTTTGGAAAAATAAATCTGAATTAAAGTGGGACATAAATGCTATTGGAACAACATCAGAATGGATAAAAATGTTGACAGTA